TTCAGACTTAAACTTCAAACTTTCAATCACTGAATCATTATGTAAAAATCTGTCAGTCACATATTTGCAAGTGATATTGTTGCTCTTTCAGTGTGGAGTTTCCAGCCCATTGGCATCACCCACAAACCTATTCACGTCCCCATGTTCCATTGGTTTGGGCTTCCTCCATCCTCTGAATGCCAGCTATTTGGTCCAGTCATCAAGAAAAAACATACGAGTTTACACCAATGAGAAGCCTGCTCTTCAAGGGAGTGTCTGTGCAAAAAAACAATCTGAACATTTAATGACTGGTGCTTTTTCCGCTCTGTCATGGTTAAAGAGAGCGCCTGGGTGGCCAGACTGGCTTTCATCACGGGACGGGGGGCAACTGTTCCTCACACCTGATTATTAGTGATACTGGATGGACTCCAGAACTTGGGTGGTATGTTTCTATGTCAGATGAAGTTTCCAGTCATATCTCTCGGGATGTGATGCCCTGAGAGCGTTGAAAAGGTATCATTCGGAGCATCTATAAGTGTTTAGGTTTAAAGGTTGCAGATTGAGGAACATTAAGGTGGTGTTGAAAATCACACTGGTGCTATACCATTGTGCAATGATGATGATGATGATGAAGAAAGAAACTGGCATACTATGTAGAGTGGACTGACAGGTCCATAATCTTAGCAAGCTTATTGGAAAGCTGGAAGAACAGACACTTTTTATTCTGTGGTGAGCTGAAAAGTAATATAAAGACGTAATGTTCCTTCACATAAACCCTCCTTATACTGTGAAAAGAAATAAAGCCATGCTGGACAATGTACTGGTGGATTAAATCAAAATCTATGCAACAAAAGTAGGATTCACTCTTTTGGCATGAGCGAAACTTTCATTTCACTGTGTATTAACTGTTATGTGGTTGCTCACGCATACATAACTTTCAAAAATCCCTCTTGTGCTTGCTATTGACTCTCAAAATTAAAAATCTTTTAAAAATAAAGAATGCCTTTCTTAACAGGAAGAATATTTTTTTGTCTTACAAACACAAACACACATATACTATGTATACATATACACTACAAATATATATATATATATATATATATATATATATATATATATATATATATATATATATATACAGTTGAAAGGAAATTTGCACAGCATGTCTGATGTATTTTTTCTTCTGGAGAAAGTCTTATGTTTTATTTTGGCTAGAATAAAAGCAGTTTTAAATTTATTATGAACCATTTTAGGGTCAAATTTATTAGCCCCTTTAAGCATTTTTTTTCTCGATGGTCTACAAAACAAACCATCCTTATACAATAGCTTTCCTATAATTACCCTAACCAACCTAGTTAACCTAATTAACCAAGATAAACCTTTAAATGTCAATTTAAGCTGTATAAAAGTGTCGTGAAAAATAAATCTTATTTACTCATCAAGTTTTATTTACTCATCTTTGTCATCAAGACAAAGATAAAATAAATCATTCATTCATTCATTCTCTTGTCGGCTTAGTCCCTTTATTAATCCGGGGTCGCCACAGCGGAATGAACCGCCAACTTATCCAGCAATTTTTTACGCAGCGGATGCCCTTCCAACTGCAACCCATCTCTGGGAAATAAAATAAATCAGTTATTAGAAATGAGTTATTAAAACGGTTTAGAAATGTGTAAAAAAAATCTTATTTTCATTAAATGGAAATCGGGGAAAAAAATAAACAGGGGGTCCAATAATTCAAGGGGGCTAATAATTCTGATTTCAACTGTATATTCCTTCGACTTAGTACCTTATTTATCAGTGGTCACCACAGTGGAATAAAACGCCAATTATTTCAGCAAATGTTTTGCGCAGTGGATGTCCTTTCAGCTGCAACCTAGTACTGGGAAACACCCATACACTCTTGCATTCAAAAGAATATGTCTGCATGTGTGTGTTATTTATGGTGTAGTTAGGGTATTCAAATATTATAATGTTAACAAAAATAATAAATAAATAAATTAACATTAAAAGAATCAGTCACTTAAACGGTCTTAGAGGAACCCCCCCAAAAAAAACTTCTATGGCATTGCTGCAACATTTTGGAAGCTTTATTTTTAAGAGTGAATCTTAATTCTCTAAATACTGCTATTAATGCAATAAATCCAGGTTTCATGGATAGTAACAGTCCTTCATGTAGCAATTGATTTCAATACGGAATCTTTTTTTTTTTAGGTTCTTTAAGAAACCAAAAAATGTGATTTCATAGCATCACTGGCATCTTCTATGTAACCTATATTTTTGAAGTGTATGAAGGATATGTATCTTCTATAAAGAACCTTTGTAGAAAGTTCAAGTTCCACAAATGTTTGAGGTTGTTCATGGAGCCATTAATGCTAATTAAGAACCTTTAATTTTAGAAGAGAGCAATGCCAACAAAGAGAAAAAACAAACAAGCTTTGCTTAAGAGGTTTCATTGAAAAGTTCTTATACAAACCATTATTTATGTTTAGAGAATATTTAATGATCTAATGAACCTTTCTCCACACTGTGAAACCCAACAGTCAACTTTATCAAATGAAATGAGTGTAGTTAACTCAAAATATACTGAAAGCTATAAAGTTTAACTTTGTGTTGAAGGTAACAAGTACATTAAATACCTCATTATTTCAACTTTATTGGAGTAAGTTCACAGTACTCATATCGATTAGTTTTTAACTCAAATGGTTTGTTGCAAATCGGTTTCCTCAAACGGTTTGAGTTGCCTTAAGTTATTGGGTTTTACAGTACTCAGTTGGTTTGAGTTCTCTTCATTTATCGGGTTTTACTGTGCTCATATTACTTCGTTTACTCAAATCGATTAAGTTTAAAGTACTTATTAAGATTAGTTTTTGAACTTTAATGGTTTGTTGTAATCGATTTCCTTAAATAGTTTGAGTTACCTTAACTTTTTGGGTTTTACTGTGTATTTAATTGTCAGTTCAATAAAAGAATTCCACTGATTGACGTTCCTCAAGGAACCATCTTTACCAACATAGAACCTTTATTTTTAGGTGCGGAATCTTTCCACATGTTATAGTGGAAAAGGTTCTTTCACTATGACAACATTGACATTGAAGAAATTTTCAATAATAAAAGTGTTGTTTTATAGCTCTGTTGCAGAAACACAATTTTAGAATAATTTTTATAAGTAGATTATTAAAATGTTCTTCACATTAATTTTTTTTAAATGAACCTCTGAAAAGTTCCAGGGGACATGGATTATTTTTAGAATGAACAAATTCATTTTAGAGGTTCTGTACACAGAAGAAATGTTCTTTAGATTAATACAATACAATAAAAGGATGCATGGTCAACTCTAAGCAAAGTTTGGACTCCTGAAAATCCAGGACTGTGACATTCACACACAAGTATAGTGAAACGGAAAAGCCATATATGTGACGTCTGTCAAAAAAGCTGCCTAAAATGAATCGATACAGAGAGGAACGTCAGTATCTTCATTCTTCTGCGAGGTCAAGTTGTTCTTTTCATGCCAATAGACTTTAGGCAGCAGACAGAGCAGAGAATGTTTTTACATGTGATCATCCATCCAGCATGTGTTTCAGGCGCCACACAGATTAAATGAAAGAATCTGAAAATGAAGGTCTTTAACTTTTAATCCTTTTACAAAGACCCTTCAGACTGTCTGAGGACGGAATGGCGTCTCAGAGGAAAAAAAACAAAGTAACTGATCCACTCCCTCTGAGGAATACGAATCACCAATTGTCCATTACGATCCAGACTTGACTTCATAAGTCAAATTGAAATAATATCACCTCAATTAGTGTCACATCAGCATGGAGGGCTTTATAAATAGCGACTGGCGAGTTTTACTGCATGCGGTGCATGTTAATCAGATTTAATACAGTGAACAGAAGGGTTATTAGAGTCGACTAAAACTACAAACATAAAATTTAAATTGTTATTCTTATTTTTTTATTATATATTAATAATAATAATAATAATAATAATAATAATAATAATAATAATAATAATATTAATTATAGAATACCTGGATATTCCAAGTATCTGAAAAAAAGTGTTCATTTAGTTAAATTTAGGATTAAATAATTAAAAATAAAACAAAATTCAAACTAGAACTCAAATCTGAGTTGTTTTAGTTTGGGTCATGGACAAACCTAAATTTTGGATTATTATTTTATTTATCATTTAAACATTTAACCACACAGTTGGGTTTGCCATACTTCACTCAAACTTAGTTTGAATTTACATTTAGTTTGTAAAAATATTTTCAAAGATATTTCAAAATTCTTTTTTTTTGTTAAATGCACAACAAAAATTACTAAAACATTGGCTAAAATATCAATGAAAACAGAGAACCACAATCAAACTGTTACAACCAAACTGCTGTCACTAAATAGTAAATTAGATGTAAAAAATAAACAATTCATGCCATTTTTAGTGGTTTATTTTAAATGCATTTTGACTACATGAACATAAAGAATAAATAGTTTCTTTTAATTTACATGAGCAGTTATTTTCCATTCCCCTTATATTTACAGCACACCAAGACTGTAATCTATATTCTCCTGTCTGAGGTGTATAAAGTATTTTTTTTTCCGAATAATGGAAAAAGCTTGGAACTCCTTCAATAAACGCACTTTGAATGCGAAATGTTCTTCGACATAAATATGTATAAAGTTACATTACAACCAAAGTTACAGTAGACACTGGATATTATAGGCAAATACTGACCTTTTAGTTCTTTTTACAAATGAATCAGGCACCACACTTTACATTTTACAGTGTCCATGTTATTACTCTAATTATTTACTATAATGACTATAATAGCAAGCAGCTCCACAAAACAAGAGAGACAAGAATCACATGTTAAGTACGCAAAGTTCTGTCAGTACTTCTGTATGAAATTACACAGTAACATGAACACCAATGTAAAGTGTAACCTAATATGGCACCACATATACATCAAATATACATTCCTACACGGGGCAGTGCATGTGAGGATGAGTGCGGAGCTTATTTCAGTTCGGGCAAGAGCATTTGCACTCTGATATCACGGGGTACTGAACGGGTATCCAGGCGCATTTGAGTCCACCCTTTCTCTGCACGCACCTCCATCGCAAAACCGTCAAATGGCTGGATTTGGCAGGTTTGCAAACCATCCCTTCTGGAACCGAACAAGAGCGTTTATTGTAGCAGCTGCCCACTTTCAAATAACGGGGCCAGAATCGGTTCCCCAAGTCCTGCCATGTGTGCACCACCGGACAGAAGGTGTAGGACCAGAGCCACAGCTGAAGCCGTCTTCTGAGCTTCTTGCTGGGCTTGTGTTTCTTCCCGTGCTGGATATCAAACTCCATGGCTTTGATCTCTTTGGGCATGATGCCATTGGGACGCTGTTTCATGAGCTCCGACTCGTTCAGCTCGTCCTGTCCCGCGTGCTTGTCCTCTGGAGGATTGATGGACATGAAGTTCTGCTCGAAGTGACTGCCTAGAATGGCTCTGAGTTCGGTCTCGTTCAGATCCCGCTCTTTAGGGTCCAGTACGGGATCCGGGTCCTCCTTGAGTTCCACTATGGGCAGGCTGTCGCTTGGAATGGGACGGAGGAGGTAGTAGTGTTGGCACATGCCCTCTTCTATCCTGAACCCGATGGAGAAAATGAGCACGGTGGCCAGGAAATACGGTATGTTATCCATCTTGAGTGTTCGCTTAAGTTTTTTGGCGAGCCGTGAGCGCTCGCGCCAAAGTGTTTATTCGCTTATCCGAGGTGCGTAAATGCGCTCGCAAATCCAACAAGTCTTGCGTCTCGTTCCGCTTTTACGCACAGGTTCCTCATGACAGCATCAGGCGGCTTCAGCCAGAGCCGGTCTCCTGTGTGAGCTCGCGGGCTCCTCGTGCTCTCTGAGGATCCGCATGCTTTCTAGTGGCCGCCGAACTGAGAATCACCTGGCTCGACTGATTTATCCTCGCGGGTCGCGATGCAACCCAAAGACCCATTCTCAATTGTGAGTCTGTTGCCAGAGCTCCACGACACCTCCTTCTATTTAGGGAGGGGAGGGGTGGGATGGTCCGGGAGAGAGAAAGGGTTGTTTGGGGGTTGGAGGGGGAGAAGGGGGTCCGGAGGGATGACTATCGGCGATCGCCCTCTGCCGGTGCGCGCGCACATGGGTGGCATGTCCCAAAACCGAGGATCAATGGCCACAGGCCACTGGACTGAAGCATCGATATAACCCATTCATTCATGTTCAAAGAACTTTACATATCTTTCAGATGTAGAATTGTTTTATGTATGAAACGTTGTAAGTTTAATAGAAAGTTTTTGATTATCATCAATGGTTCCACAGAAAACATTTAACATCCATGGAACCTTTTCATTCCACAAATGGTTCTTTATAGTAAAAAAATGATGTTTTCAGATTGTTAAAATGTTTTTCCCCTTTTGGTCCCTTTATTAATGCGGGGTTGCCACAGCGAAATGAACACAGTGGATGCCCTTCCAGCCGCAACCAACCCATCTCTGGTAAACATCCACACACTACAGACATTTAAGTCTTCCCAATTCATCTGTACCGCATGTCTTTGGACTGTGGGGTAAACAGGAGCTCCCATGCGAACGCAGGGAGAACATGCAAATTCTACAAAAAAACTCCAACTGAGCTGAGGTTCGAACCAGTGACCTTCTTGCTGTGAGGCGACAGCACTACCAACTGCGCCACTGCATCGCCCAAAAATACTTTATACTAAAAGGTAATTTAAGCAAGCAAAAAAAAGTTATTTATAGAAGTACCAATCTTCTAAAAATCATATTAGTTCTAGTAACCACCAAGTAAAATGCTTTAAAAGCATTACTTGCATTTGAACACATTCCAGTTTATAGAAATTGAAAAAAATGTGGGTAATAATTCACCCCAAAATTTTGTAAACGCTGAAAACTTCTGTTATCATTTAATCACTATTTACTTTATTATTATTTTTTTTTAACTTTTTTGTCTTTTTTCTGTTGAACTCAGAAAGAGAAACCTGCAAACCTGTTTTTTCCTACTATGGAAGTCAATTATTACATATGTCATCAATATATCTTTAGTGTTCTGAAGACTTTGGAAACTCATAAGAAACTTTTTAAGATTTGATACCATATGAGGGTGAGTAGGCAAGGCAGTAGCGCAGTAGGTAGTGCTGTCGCCTCACAGCAAGAAGGTCGCTGGGTCGCTGGGTCGAACCTTGGCTCAGTTGGCATTTATGTGTGGAGTTTGCATGTTCTCCCTGCCTTCCCGTGGGTTTCCTCCGGGTGCTCCCCCACAGTCCAAAGACATGCGGTAGAGGTGAATTGGGTAGGATAAATTGTCCGTAGTGTATGAGTGTGTGTGTGGATGTTTTCCAGAGATGGGTTACGGCTGGATGGGCATCCGCTGCGTAAAAACTTGCTGGATAAGTTTGCGGATCATTCTGCTGTGGCGACCCCGGATTAATGAAGGGACTAAGCCAACAAGAAAATGAATGAATGAAGGTGAGTAAATAGTGAGTAAATTTTAAATTTTGGGTGAACTAACTAAATACGTCTATATACGTCAAAAAGACAAATGTCTTTGTGTCATTTACCTAGTTATGTCATTTGAAATGCAAAGATGATGTTTGAGTTGCCTTTGTAACAACCTGGCAATTAAATACATCATAACCTGTCTATGTCATGTCAACTTGACATATTAACTTGTCATAAATCTGTCATAAACATGATTTTCATGGGGCCATTAGAATTGTTTTACGAATTTTATAACAGTGCCATTGATATTGTCATTGAATACAGTGGTACAAATTAAATTTGTCATTAAAATATCATCAAATGTTATTACTTATTAATAACACTGTTAATAAATTATTTGACAGAGTATTGGCAATTTTAATGATCAAAACAGTTTGTTCCATTGAAAAAAAAAGAAAACATTCATGACACAGTTATAATAGCCTCATGACAATAATGTTTATGACAGATTTATGACAAGTTTTGTTGCCATGGTAATGTCAAGGTATGTTACAGCTGATGATGCATTAAGTTATATCAAGTTGTCACGGCCAAGACCATTCAAACCATGTCATTTAAAATGACATAACTAATGACACAATGCATAAAAGCTTTTTTCCAATCCATGACATGTCCTTTCATTATTATAAAGGTGTCATGACGGTCAAATGAACGCCCCCTTCAAGTAAAATGTTACCAAATGTTTATACATTTAAATATTACTAAGCGTTGACTTAAACAATTCGAATTTTGATACTCTTTTAAATCCTCATCATTTGAAATCAGCTCTGTCAATGAAACATATTAAAATGCTTCTTTTTTGGCTTCTCCAAAGACCTCCAGATCTCCAATGATATTCCTGAGCGTCTTTCAAACATTCAAATTGACCTTACAGCAATTTTCCGGATTGCTCCCGTGTCCGCGAGTGTCCGGCGCCAGCAGAACGCCACTTTGTTTTTAAACGCAAGGAAGTGGGCTGAAATTATGTTTTGGAGATAAGCTTGCCAACCGACTGTAGTGTCGCAGGAATCCGTGGCCCTTGAAAATGGCCTGTCCTCTGGCTAGAATTACAAAACACAGTCTCCCGGTGAACAAAGACATTTCTGAGCGCCAGTGAAAGAGTCGTGCTGTTTTCCACAGTCCTCTATATATGAACATTAAACTGATTAATGCATCTGTGATGAACAGACGCCATACTGTCTTAGTATTAAATGTCACTCATAATAAGTGTCTTAACCTGCGGACAGAGGCTCGGCTGATGTATGCTGTTATACTTTGGTGGATTCTTTCATTCGGTCCTGTCATTTGTACCAATGACTGTTTAACTGTGTTATAGCTGTTACCATGGAGGAGAGTGTTGGGACGCACAGCAGAGTGGATTCATACGAGCTCCTGTCAATTTTTAGCTGTGAACATTGCGTCATTCAGGATTTAATCATCATCAGATCATCTGCTCGATAGCGCGATTGGCCACAATATGAAGCCGTTTCCAATATACACACATGCTGTTTTCTTTCTGTTAAGTCAAGACACTGCAATTGGAGTGTTACTGTATTCTTCCAGTAGATTGATTACATTAAGAATTGCAGGATTTTTGAGAGGTCTTTTTTATTATTTATAATAAATGGATTTAACTACTGGGTACTTACATAATAAATAAAAACAATGTACTTATTGTGTTCACACATTAAAAATATGCTGGGTGTTTGTTCAAACTACTTTTAAAATTGAGCTGAAACAACACAGTTTTTTTTGTGGGGAGAACTTAAATATTTAATGTTCATTCTATCTAAATTTGTAAATCTAAGGAGTTAAATTAATTACTTCATGTTAATTACTTGGAATACGGGTAGGGTTAGAGACAGGTTGAGTGGTGTGCATAGGTTTGTGTAGGTTAGATTGAAAGGGATGGGTCAACCGTGTAATTATAAATTAATTAAAGGGCACCTACCCCTTTTACAAGATGTAAGATAAGCCTTTGTTGTCTCCAGAATGTGCCTGTAAAGTATCAGCTCAAAATACCCATTAGTTTATTTATTATACAATACAGAATCTGCATATTTTGGTGTCTGAGGACAATGTAGCCATTTTTGTAGCCTGTGGCTTTAATTCTAACAGAGCTGATTTTCTCATCCCACCTCCCACATGCATTACATAAGATAAAGAGCCATCAGTGATAGACATGGATGAAGCTGAAATAAGGTCACTACTCAAAAATACCAAGGAAATTAATTTGATGTATTTGTGGTGGAGTTTATTCAAGCCTTTCTGAAATGATGAGTCATACAAAAATGCTGTTTGCAGTACACACGTACACACACACACACACACACACGTTTACTGACACCATGCGACCATGGTGAACATTTCTATTAAGAATTACAAAGCAAATTTTCTCTCATTATTACAAACATGCACTTTTTTAAAAACATTTAAAACGTATATATGAACTATTGAGGTGCAGCTGATAACAGAGAGTTGTAACATATTGTGTTTTAATCCCAATTTCTTTGTAAAAATGTTCTATGAACATCTATACACACTCTCAGAAATAAAGGTACATGAGCTGTCACTGGGGTACACGTTTCAAAAGGTACATGTTTGTACTTAAAAGGTCCATATTGGTACATCAAAAGTATAGATTAGTACTTACAAATTTTAAGAGGAACACTTTTGTACTTTTTAAGTACTAATATGTACCCTTGAGGTATTAATATGGACCTTTTAGGTAAAAAGTGTACCTTTTGAAAAGATTCCACCCCAGTGACAGCTCACGTATCTTTATTTCTTAGAGTGTATGTTATTATGTTAACATATTAGTACCCAAATGTACCTTAAAAAAGTACCTTTGAGGTATGGACCCTTCAGGTAAGAGTATGTATCTTTTAAAAAGATACTGCCCCAGTGGCAGCTCCTGTACCTTTATTTCTGAGAATGAAAAGAGGAAAAATCAAGAGATAAAGAGAAACAAAAAAAAAATATAAAATTTAGTTGAAATTTTGCAGTTTGTAAAAACTGTCTATTTCTCAAGATGTTCGATGACTGAAAAGTTATTTTAATAAATGTATCTGTTTAATCATCTGTTTTGTTCAGCTGCACCAAAATACATTCACTGAGAAACTGATAAAAATATTCATTTTCAAAAAGGAATGAACTCAATTATGCTGAACACTGTAA